CAGCAATAAAGAATGCTCTGGTGAGCCATCGGCTCCAGTTAGCAGAAAGTGGCATATGAAGTTATTATTTCTTAACAGCCTAGAGGGAACTGCTTCTCCCTTTAATCAGTGATCTTAGTTCCTTCCTACCTATAATTTCTGTCAGACAGTTATAAAACTATTACCCAGCTCAGCATGTACACGCACATACACACACACACACACACACACACACACACACACAAATCCTGCACACACATTTATTCAGGGACTGGTACCTAATTCCCATCTGAATTTGAAAACAGAAGAGGTTGCTAAGGTGAAGTATTTCATTCCTTCCTTTGTCAGGGACGCAGCCAGGAATAAATTAAATCAATCTGTGTAGCCCATCTTTCCTACCTAAATCCAAATTCAAAAAATTTTTTTTAACTCTGATCTTTAACAACTATCAAAAATATTCTCTCACTTTCTTAGAATATTAAGATTATATTAAAAGACTGCTATGAGAAGTGACTAAGGCCTTCAAAGACATGCCAGATTTTGGATTAAGAAATTAGGAACACATCATATGAGCAAACAGAGGACGGTTTCTTTTCTCCTTTCTTTTTTAATGTAACAATCCTGAAAGAGAATGATCTCTGGGGTCCTTTCCCAAAAGATCCCAAACTAAAATAGAATCTGTTCCTGACAGTATCTGCACTGGAAATGCAAAAAATTGATGCACTCTGGGATAAAGTCAAACTATCCAAGTCACAGTCACTCTTACTATATACTGTAATCAGTTTCATTGAAAAACTGTGAAAATTATCATGTTAACCTCAGAAATTTAAAGAATGGCAGTGCCTAAAATATGGCAATATGAATAAAGACTTGTACATTGCCCTATCATTCTGATTCACATGTTGACCTCACGCTTCTATCTGTTAAAACTGCTCTATAATATTGGCAATAGAAGTTGTAAATGATTTGATGCTCTTTACAGCAACTGTTCCCATCAGAATTGAGTAGTATAACAAGATCAAAAATACACGTTTCCTTTTTTCTCACAGGCTACTCCTAAAGATCAACAGCAGGCCATCCCCACCCCAATCAGGTGATAGCAAGAGATCTACAAACTCAAACCAGATCCAGTTAAAAGAAACTCCTAAAATAAATGTAAATTTACGTTCACCTTATATAATTTGCAGTCTCGATTATCCCCTCTTGATTCCGATCTCTATACTTTACGTCTTCCATAAAATGGAAGAATTGTTTTCTATTCTTAAAAGAACACAAAGTTGTATCTATTATCTGCCTTTCCACAATTTGGATATGTTTTTATTTCTATCACTTTTATTTAATAACACCATAGATTAACAGAGACACATTAGAGTTTACGAGATACTAGCAAGCAGTGTTTTTTCAATAGCTCTGACTTTAAGCTAAAGAGACTTCTACTGAATTTAGAGAGTAAAATTTAGATGGTTAAAATGGTGTTAACAAATCAAAGATAAATTATTATTACAGATAAAATGTGATTTACTTGTCTCCACACCTCTTTTTGTCATTTATTCTTTCCAAGAGATGACTCATTTAAAAAAAAAAAAACCTTGCAAAATTACAAAAACAAGATAACCAAAAGTCCTCAGTAACTACTCTTTTTTTAGTAGCAAAAATAAAAGGTAAACAAAAACTAAGAAGAATATGTGTATGTGTGTGTGTGTGTGTGTGTGTGTGTGTCTGAGAAGTGGTAATAATATTCAGGTTTGCAAATAGTTTAGACTCCATTCATTTAATTATCTCCTAATTTATAAAAAATGTAGTAGTATGGTTAGTTTCTGGTTAGTGATTTGTAAATTCTTATAAAATTGGTGTGAGAAGGCAGCTGTGGTATAGCTGGTTAAGAGTCTGAGTGTCAATTCTGAAACTTAACTGTTATTTTAGTTAAGTCCCAAAAATTCTCCATGTTTCCATTTCTTCAACAATAAATAGGAAAGATAGGGTTGGTAAAGAAATAAATGGATAGTGTTTCTAAACTGTGAACTATTTAAAAATACAAGAGTTATTTGTGTTTTCTAAATAGTTACTACTTTTGAAGAGTGACCAGGAAAAGTTCTAGTTAGGAGATTAAAGACAAATAAAAGGAAATAAATATGAAATGGAGAAAAGAAACCAGTTCCTATTTTAATGCTTTCTTTGTATTTGCAATTTAAAAAATCTCTCCAACCTTTAAAATAAATCTCATTCTACTACCAAGCTTCCACTAACATTTTTAATAAACTTCTGTTTTATTTCTTATCTTTAGAATTCATTTATTCTAAATGCACTCAATACAATGATCTAGATACGGGAAAGGAGACTTTCTCATACTCATTTAGAGAATGAAAACAGGTGCAACCTTCTTCTGTAGGAAATTTGGTCATATACATCCATATTGTTGACACATGAATTCTATTCTCAGGAATTATTTTACAGATATACTTCCACAATTCACAGAGATGCATGTATAAAGATGTTAAATAAAGCTCCATTTATAATAGTATAAAATAGTAAACAATATCTTTCCATTATTTGGGGATTAAGTAAATTTTGATACCTCCATATAATGAAACACTAAGTAGCCATTAAAAAGAAATTAGGTTGGTCTCCATGTGCTGTCTAATGGAAACATGCAAAGCTGTTTTGATGAATATTAAGTGAAAGAAGAAAGCTGTAGAACAAAGATCATCTATTTTGTGTTTTAAACCTATAAAGGAAGTTAAGGGAAGTTGGCGGGATCTACAAGAAATCATTTTACTTCACTCAGAACTAGGTGAGGTTTCTCAACCTCAGCACTATTGACATATTGGATCAGATCACTCTTTGTTTGGACTGTCCTGTGCATTGTAGGATGTTTAACAGCATCTCTGGCTAATATTACAAATAAAATGTGATTTACTTATCTCCACAAATAAATGTGTTCCTAGATGCCAGTAGTATGCCCCAGCTGTGACACCTAAAAAGGTCTCTAGAAATTGCAAATGTTCCCTGCAGGGCAAACTCACCCCCAGTTGAGAACCACCAAACTAGAGAATGAAACTCTAAGGGTGGGGATAGAAACATATACTTTTCACTTTATATCTCATTATACTATATAAACATTTTTACCATGACAATATATTACATTTGCAATTTAAAGAAAATTTTAACAAAATGAGATTGCTAGAAATTTTTAATTAAAAAATTAAATTAATAGTATCTGTAGAATATGAATCTTTGTTTAAAGAAAAAAATCTATGTAAGAAGTAATACAATTGTGAAGAAGGATTAAAAGGGTCTTAACTATCTTCAATGGAAGAGGCTGAAAGATATATAAATTCTACCACTTTCTTTCCATGGCTACCTCTTTCCAAAATGTCAGCATTCTCCCTTCCTTCCTTATTCCTTGCCCTTAACCCTGGTGGTGCAATTGTTTAGGGCTTAGGTGCTGACTGAAAGGTCGGTGGTTTGAACCCATCAGCTGCTCTGCAGGAAAGATGTGGCTGGCTGCTTCTGAAAAGATTTACAGTCTTGGAAATCCTATGGAGCAGTTCTAATAGGGTACTATAGGGTCGCTGTGAGTCAGAATTGACTCGATGGCAATGGGGTGGAAATCTTGGGGCTGTAGTTCCTCCTTATCACGGTGGTTCAGACTAGCTTCCTTCTCTTCCTTCGTTTTTTGCATATTCAGACAAATACAAATAGACAAACCAAAAATGTTACTAGAAATATGGAAATTTCTTTTCTTCTGCCCAGGAAGTACAGGGAAATACCACTAAAAACCTAAGAAATAAAGTAAACTTGGCACTTATGAAAGTATGAAATCTGCTAATAAACTCTGCCAGACTAAAAACAAACATAACTAAAATGAACATAGTGCAAAAGATCCAGAACTAGTAAAAACTTGTTATGACGTTGGTTATTCATTTATTTATACATCCACCCAAAATATGATTCTTGCTCTAATATAACAGCATGGGGGGCAGGCAGGAAGATGGTTAACTGATCAAGATAAACCTTCAGAGCATAAAGTGATGAGAACAGATGAATAAAAAAACTACACAAAGCCTAATGAAGAGCTAAAGCCTGTGGATAAACCAGTAGGAAAAGAGCCCAGCATAAAGCAAATTAAGTAAATTAGTAATTAATAAAAATTTGGAAATCTTGCCAAGTTTAGCATCTCAGAAAAACAGATACTGCTTTTGTAATGTGATATTGTGGGGAGGGAGGTGGTCTACTAAATTAAAACATGATTTCAAATAAAATCATTTTACTATAGACAGCTTTTATACAATTTCTCAGAGATAGTTACAGTGTCTAACTTCTTAAGAACATATACTTCAGGATAGAACTGTTATGTGAAGAGAGCCTTAAGGGCAATAAATGTCATAACCATTACTCTTACTCATCATTAAGTTTGGGTCCATGTGTATCTGTAAAAGCCACCTCAGATTTGAGCTCACAGTCTTAGAATATCGGAAACATACCTCTGGATAATAATGCTCTTTTAGGAGAAGTAGTAGAGGAAGATGGAGTCCCTGGGTTAGCACAAATGGTTAAGTACTGAACTACTAACCCAAAGGTGGGTGGTTCAAACCCACCCAGAGGCATCTCAGAAGTAAGGCCTAGCCATCTGCTACTGAAAGGTCACAGCCTTGAAAACACTATGGAGTGCAGTTTTACTTTGCGCACTTGAGATCACCATGAGTCGGAACAGGCTCGACAGACACTAACAACAACAAAGACAGTGGAGAAGGGGCGAGGAGGTGCAGCTCTGGGACTGCACTAGAGTTGCTCTGAGTTGGGCTTTACCTCTTGTGTTTGCATAAAGTTTCTTCTGAGAAACTACTGTTTGAAACAACAGTTTGAAAACTACTGATTTACACCAATATAGCAATAAAACTAACTCCTCCCTATATACTTGGATTTCATGAATATGCCAAGATTAAAAACTTTAATATAAAACTAATGTAATTCGTGATATAAAACAAATGAGTAAATTAACACATTACTGGAAAACATACCTGACTCTGGCCAGAACAGCTTGCAGAAAGTTCAGTACCGTCCTAAGTTCAGACTCTTGACAAGCTGGCAAAAGCATAGTAAATCCATCATTAAGCAGTTTTTCATGTGAAGGTTGTAAGCAATGGCTGGTCTCAAATACCTCCTGGACACCATCAATGTAGATGGCAAGCAGTGTCCAGAGAGTCTGTTTCTGTCCTATTTCATCATTCTTAGATACTAAGAACTCCTTTGCTTTCTCCCGGAAAGCGCCTGACAATTTCTCAGCCAAAACACCAATGTCCAGATTTTTCTGGACATACATCAGGAGGAAGGCCATCTGACCCTTCCAAATGAGGGCCCTTTGAGAAGATATTATAGAGGCCGACCTGAGGAAGTTTAGGAGGTCTAAAACGTGACTTGCTACATCTTCCACCTCTGCAACAGCTGCTAACAGTAGAAAAAGGCTGAAAAAGTTCTGCAGACCAACTTCTGTTAGTTCTTCCATTCTTTTTTGATGGAATTTAGAATATATTCTGTAAAACATAAAAAAAATTGCTTTAACAAAATTGTTTCACACATAACAATACATCTTTAAGAAAAAAATACTATGTCATTCAATATTCATGACAGTCTCATTACTTTAAATTTTTAGCCAGTTTTTATTTTGATGCATCCATGTCACTTTTTCTACTTAGATAACAAATTCACAGAACAGCCCTACCTTCAAACTTCTCAATGATGCAGCAAATTACCTATTAGTGAATGAAAGGATTTAGTGGCTTTCCCCAAAGGACAGTAGAAATGTTGTTTTCATATAGCATATGGCTTTTCTTTTTATTTGAAAATTTTTACTTATTTTTATTGGCAAATAAAGAAGAATAAATTTTTTAAGTACCATTTGATGTTCTTTACAAAAATCTTAACAAGACGACTTTATATAATAATTTTCCTTAAACCATTTTTCCCTTACCATCACAAAAACTTGCTCTTGCTCTACTTATACCCTAAGGCAATTAATTCAATGGGCTGGAAGAATATTTTTACCTTTTGTAAAGAAAAATTGTTAGTGTTCTAATGTCCAAGATTAGCCATTAAAAAATTTCTCACCGATACTACTCAATATAACATGTATTTTTCTTCTGTCAACTGAGGGCTTAGAATTAAAAATAATTTAACTTGAATTCCTACTTATGGGCGGTTTAATTTTGTAAGTTTTATACTTGATTAATTCAGGGCAGAAATTATTAATGTTCACAAGCAGTTAAATGCTTATTTATAAAGAATTATTAGAGCTGATAAGCTCCTGAAAGTAAAGATGTGTTTAATTAACTTTGTATTCCACACCTTGTCCATTGCAGTGCTTGGTGTAAAAAATTTTCCTAATAAACAGACTTGTTATTGAATGAATTCCAATGATTTCTTCTAGCAATAAAGTTCTATGAATATTACCTCTTCTATAAAATGGAAGAACTGTTTTCAATTTTTAAATCAAAAGAAACTGACAGATGGAAAAAAGAAAAAGCTACTGTTTAAGCTATATGATTATTAAAGTTTAAGACAAAAGTTATTGTTAAAGTGATTGTGGGACTACCAGGCTCAAAGAACACAAAGCTCTATCTATTATCTGCCATTCCACAATTTGGATATGTTTTTATTTCTATCACTTGTATTTAATAAAATATATGCAATAGATTACATAATAACATTACAATAATTTTGGCAAGGAAAAAAAAACAGCTCCCTAATATCCACTAATATATGTTATTTCCTTCCTCAGCACTGACGAGATAAATACGAAATGAAAACCTTCCAAAAGTTATAGTTGTTAGATTTATTCCTTACTATAACAAACTGATAGATCAAAAAGCTCTATATTTTGCTGTCCTACATTAAGGAGTACATTTTAAATGTGTAAACCACAAAAACAAGTGAACTTAAAAAATACAAATAGTAACACTTTCCCAAAGAAAACAGGGAGCATTCATGGCAAAAAAAGAGACAGCACACACCTTCCTTTGACTTGTTTCCAAGGATGAGGGCCATTGTTCTTCATTGCTTTCTTAACAACTTTTGCCAGAATACAAAGGAAAATGGTGTAACTATTGCTGGACTTATAAAGGTCGTGGTCTTGTTTATCACAACAGCAGGTCTTCACCATTTCAAGCAGAGACAATGACGACTTAATGATATTTGCAAGGCCTTTCAAAGGAAGCCAAGAAATACTGAAAGAACTATTCTAAGAGCAAAACAAGATAGAAAAGAAGTATTAAGTCTCTTAATAAAAATGGAAATCTGAAAATCCCACTTAGCTCAACAGAAATGTGACCCATCTGAATCACAAAAGTTATATAACCATTATCACATATCCCCCAAAATAAAATTCCATTTAACGTGAAAGAGTGTCCAAATTTCTGGATTGCCCCCAAAATGTCTTTTCAACAGTTGGTTTGTCCATATATTGCATTTGGTTGATTTATAGCCTTGGAACAACTATGGGGCAGTTCTACTCTGTCCTGTAGGGTCCCTATGAGTCGGAATCGACTCAATGGCAATGTGTTTGGTTTGGTTTGGTTTACCATTTCATTGGAATTTATTAGCTCATCAGATATTTGGTTATTCTAATACATAGTTTGTATCTTCCTTTATTTACAGCTTTCAGAATAAAGGTTTTTAAAAAAGTTATCATAAACTCAGGGATTTGAACATTATTTGGTATGTTTTAAATCCACTGCAGTCATTACTCTTTCTTATACTCAAGTTGTCCCAGCTTTGGGTAGTGCAAGCCCTTTCAAGGTGTCTGCTGTGTCCTTTTGACATGACTCTGGTTTACTTTGGTACCTTCCCTGCTTTCTGGTATGACAAGATATTCCAGACTCATCTTGTACACATTCTTCCCCAGAACTGAAATCAGTCATTTCCCCGTTACATCATTTCTGACATTATGCTTCAACAGAAGATATTTTTCTCAGTTTTAATAAGCTCATAATATGTCCAAATCCAAACTTACTATTTACTTATAAATCTTCCATGTACCACATATAACTAAATTCTTTACTTCAAACTCTTACATTTTTATCTTACTAAATTTATCCTCTCCTTTCTAAATCCATCATCCCTACTCTACTTCTCATCCATAGCATTATTGGCTTACTGTACTTCTCATCCACAGCATTATTGGCTTATACTGCTGCAATGGACTAGTAACTCATCTGTACCCAATTTACCATTTTACACCACTTTCAGAAAAAAAATTCTCAAACACATAGCTAATGTCACACCCTTGCTTCCCAATGCCTCCTAAATAAACGAGAACTTAACTGCTCTTCATCTCAACCCTTCATAGTCTAGGCCCAGTCTACTTCCTGTACTCTCCATACCTTCTGCCACTCTCCATAGTCATCCCAGGCCTATCATTCAGAACTATTTAACATGATAGGAACAATCCATGCCTTTTCATTTCTCCATACATTTGTTCACTGCAGTGGATTAATTACTTTTGTGTGTGGCCTTTCTAGCCATGGTCTTGTAACTCCCACCCAGGTGACTGTGTGATAGGGTAACTGTGGCCTATCAAGGGGTTGGTCAGTTTTGTCTTAAAAAGAGAACCAATTCCAGAGCAGAGAGGAGGATCCCTACCACCAAGGAAGCATAGCCAGGAGTGGAGAGCGAGTCCTTTAGACCCAGGATCCTTGCACTGAGAAGCTCCTGGAAGCAGGAGACAGACAGCAAGCTGTAATCCTGAAGAAGATGAGAAGTGGTGGCAGGAGAGACCCAGCAGCAGGAGATGGTATGGTGGGCTTTCCAGCCCACAGAGAGAGAAAGCTGAGCGCCTCTGGGCAGAGACTGAGCGCCAGGGAATCGTGTGCCTTCAAGCATGGCTGGGGAGAGGCTATCCTGATGGGAGAACTGTATCCTCAGTGTTCTTGAGCCTGAATTATAACTGTTACTTCCCTAATAAACCCCATAATTGTGAGTATGGTCTGTGAGTTCTGTGTGGCCATTGCAATGAATTATCGAACCCAACAGAGAGTGCTGTGGGAGGGACGGTTGGTGTCAGAGTTGGTAAAGATGGCAGAGACAGGAGGCATGTCTGACCTCTGCCTCATGGGAATCAGCCTTGGGCTGTTGATCTTGATTTTCCTTTCCCCTTGTAAAGTTAAGAGGAGGTCAGACACTGCCCTCAAGCCATTTTTACATCCATACTATTCCTTCTTCCTGGACGGTCTTCTTCTTCTGTACCTGAAAATTCTACTCACTCCCTCAACACCAAGTTCAAATGTTAGGACCTCATAAAGTCTTCCCAAGTCCATACATTAGGTTAGATGCTCTCTCCTCTGGGTTTCCACAACTTCGTAACTTATTTTTTTCCCACAATATGTGCACCTCCCCAATAGTCTGTTAAGCTATTCAAGTGCTAAGAGTGTGTCTTATTCAGGATAGCAGTGCCTGCCCAATGTGCCACACAAGCAATCAAAACTGTTAGTATCATGTAGAAAACATTTATAAATGAGGATTTTTAAAATACATCTTTCTGCTGAAATTTTAGCTACTTTGTTTATGCTTACTCTCAAGAGAAAAGGGGTATGCAATCCTCTCTCTTCCTTAGGCCAATGCTGTACAAACAAACGTGAAAGAAAAAAGAAAGCTACTCCAATCTACTTTGAACAAAAGTTTTAACTGTTTTAGAAAAATCTAGAACGACTCATAATTAAACCATAAAAATGTTCCTCTAATCTCATGCAAAAACTCTTCAAATTCCTGGAAGAATTCTGTATTCTATTTACTTACCAGATTCTTACTATAATGTTCCCATAGAATGGTGACAATTGTAATGTTTGGCTCCCAGAAATCACAAAGTGTCAAACAACAGTGAAGATACATTCGTAATTGATCTTCTAATATACCATCCTAAAAAATAAACTGAAGTTGTGAAACAGAAAATGGGCTCTGGCAACACGAATATTATCACCTGATACTGTACTGAATAACCTGGTGCTAAAAAAGAGTATGAATATGGATCACCAAGTCACACCATTCTCATCTTCATGCCAGAAGGTCTAAATCAGCATAAAGTATACTTCTAAAAACTCGTTTTAGAGTCCATTAACATATTCAGATAATGAAAATTACATAACTCAATTTGACTTTTAACTCAATTATTTAAAAATTGCAAAGTGTTTCATAATTGAATGGAGTAGGAAACCCAAAGACTGGAAAAGAAACCTAACCAGAATAAAAGAAGTGCCAAAAAATGATCAAATAATTAAGATGTATTCAAATAGAGTTTGGTCATATTTAAGTATGTACTTGGTCAATTTCTTTAGCAGGATTATAAAGGTTGTTCTTTTAAAATCAAGATGACTGGCAGAGTACATATATTTTAAACTTTTGGGGAGGGTGGTGGGAGGAAAAGGATGTAGGAAAAAACTACACACATATTTAATTCAACACACATGGGGTCATATAACTAAAAATAACAACAGTAATAATTTTCTCTGATGAAATAACCATGCATGTTTTTTAAAAAGTAACATACCCCTGAATTCAGAATTATTTATTTAGAGCTTACTATATGCCAGGCATTGTTCTAAGGCACTAGACATAGTGCAATGAATAAATCAGACAGGGTATATGCACTAACAGAGCTTATACTTTTTGGGAGGAAGGGAGAAGGCAACACCAAAAACAAACAAGATAAATTCAAGCAATTATAACTGCTATGAGAAACAAAATACAACAAGGCAGGGTAATGTGGCAGAGTAAATGATGGAGGATGGGCATCATTATTAGATCAGGTGATAGGAAGGAAAGTCCTTTTTGAGGTGTGCCATTAGAGCCAAATGATTAAATAAACAAGAGTCGACCACTTAAACACCTGGAAGAAGAGCAGAGAAAACATAGGTAAAGTTCCTGAATTAGCAGTAAGCTCGATATTACAGGTTGAAGTCAAAGACAGGCAGGGACCATTCCCATATGAGGCCTTAGAAGTCTTGGTAAGAAGTTTGAATTTCCTTTCAAATATGTTGGGACATCATTGGAAGATTATCAGCACAGGTGTAATATAATCTGATTGTTACAAAAACACTACGTTCAATCATGCACAGAGAATGAATACAGAGAAAAAGAGTAGAAGCAGAAATACCAGTTAGGAGGCAATTCTGTGAAGCTGTAAGACTAAGATAAGCAGATAACTTTAGAAATATGTTTAGAAACAGAGCCCATGAGACTTGCTGATGAGTTAAATTAAGGTGTGAAGGAAAGAGAGTAATTAAGGAGAACTCACAGATTTGGGCTTAAGAAAATGGGCTGATGGTACTATTTCCTGAAATGGCAAAGACTAGGGGAGGAACAGATGGGTAGGGTGTACAGGCCATCCAAGTTGAGATGTAAGTAGACAATTTGATACATGGGTCTAGAGCTCAGGTGAAAGGTCAGAGTTGTTGATATAACTTTGAATGTTACTTTCATACTGACAGTTTTTAGAGCTAAGAGGCTAGATTACTCAAGGAAAGAATATAGATGGAGAAGAGAAAAAAATCCAAAACTCAGAGTCCCTTGCTATTCCAACATTTAAAAACCAAACAGAAGAAAGGAGACTATAAGAAAAACCAGTGGTCAATAAAATAGGCAGGAAACCAGGCACTATGAAAGTCAAGAGAAGTATTTCAGAAAGGGACATTGGTCAACAGGGTTGAATGCTGTCAACAGATTAAGATGAGGAGAAAGAAGAAACCTTGGATTTGACAATATGGAAACCATATTGTGCCTTGACAAGAGCACTGCAGGAGGGATGGTGAAGACAGAAGCTTAAATAGAGGGCTGAGGAAATAATAGGAAGTGAGAAAGTAGAGACAGCTAAGTGAAGATATATAAAGTACTTGAATAGGTGAGAAGAGACAAGATCCAGTGTACAGGGTGTGGAACTAGCTTTATAAAAGCAGTGAACGTCTAGTAAAACAGAAAAGCAGACTGAAAGGTCAAGTACAAAGCAGACATGTTGAGAGATCTGAAGGTGCAAAGACAAAGGAGTTCTCATCTGATTGCTTCAACTTTCTCAATGATTTATGAGGCAAGATGTTCAGCTGAGTGGATTGGGGCAGAGCATGTGTTGAATCGTGTTAATGAGAAGTTCTAAAATAAGTCATTTTGGAGAGCAGAAAAACAAACATTCTAGAACTGACTGCCATTTGATATTTATGATCAAGAATATAAAGTCCAACCAGTCAGAAAGAACAACTGTATGATTTTCTTCAGCAATATTCAGCTGCAGGGGGGGGCGGGCAGGGTGGGGACAAGAAGATAGAAGAAGAGTAGGTTTTGTCAGGTTTAGAACAGGTAAGAACTATGGAATTAAAGGTGTTTGATGGAGTGATTACGATAATGGGTGTGTAGTTGTGTAAACTAAATTGTTTCAGGAGGAAAATGAGGATATAGAAAAGGATAGAAAAGTGAAAAGGTCAATGGTGATGGTCAGATGGTCAGAATGAAAATGAAATGAAAAGAAAAATGAAAAAATGTAGAGCATAACCATGGGGAAGAGAAGGGTGAGGGGGTAGAAGAAAATCTGACTAGAAACGAGGATATCAACAAACTGAGAGAACATGTATATCCTACAATAATGTTGGGGTCACTAACAAGAATAGTATACAGGTATAGAAGAAAATAGTGATCTTGCTGCCAAATTATTCGATGAATGAGATGACCCAAACATGAATAAATGAGAGCAAAGAACAGATTTTTACTGACAAGGCTTTAACTCTTTTAATTATTCATCCTTTAAAATGTACTTTGGACCTTAGTCCTCTAGCCAATTTCCAAACTCCCACACTAGAGAGTAATCTTTTTATGTTCCCACAGCATACTGCATAGCACTAAGGAGTGCTGGTGGTGCAGTGGTTAAGTACTCAGCTGATAACCAGAAGGTAAGTAGTTTGAACCCACCAGCTGCTCCATGGGAGAAAGATGTGGCCGTCTGCTTCCATAAGCCTTGGAAACTCTATGGGGCCGTTCTACTCTATAGCGTCGCTATGAGTCAGAATCGACTCGATGGCAACGGATTATCATAGTACTTACCATGTTAAACTGAATCTGTTTCTCTATCAGCCTTCAAGAGTCTATGAGCTCTCTGAGGGCTGGGATAACTTCTTACTCACTTTAGTGTCCCCAGGGTCTAACACAGTACCTGGTTTATCAAAGACCCTCAATAAATGTTTGATGAACAAAACAGATCTGAGTTCTGGTGTCTCTTTTCACCAACTAGTTACATGGCTTAGGGCAAGATAATTAGCTTCCCTAAGAGACAATTAGACTCACTTACCCGAAGAAGACAAAGTTTTGTCCATCACTAACATTCTTTGATTCTATTGTGAAAATATTAAACTAGTCCTCACAATTTCTGTGGCACACTACTAATTTCATTTAAAGCACACTGCTTTTATTGTATATGTACTGTTATATATATAATATATATTATCTGTACTATTATATATTTTTTCATATATGTATATGAATATACTCACATAGAGTGGGCATCAGATTTGATCGAGACTACTCTCAGTGACCAAATTAATATTTGAATCACATTCTTTATAAGGCCGAAGTCCATGCCCCTTCCACTGTACCCAATCAAGAAGAAATTAGATATGTTATTCTGGGAGAATTTTTTTCTTTTGTTTTCTTAAAGGAAAACTGAAAAAAATTTCCTTAATTTTCTGGCTAGTGGCTTTGGATTAAAATAAAAAGCAGCAGCCCAGAAAAAATTTGTCAGTTGAGTGTGACTTGGAAAGTACATGCTTTTTTAGCTGACAGTCAATAACTGGTAGTATTTGTTATCTATTTGGAAGAAAGACATGGCAATCTACTTCCAAAAAATCAGCTACTGAAAATCCTATAGAGCACAGTTCTACTTTGACACACGAGTCGTCATGAATCAGGGTGGACTCGACTGCAACTGGGAGCTGGGGTTTGTTATACTGGCTACATTTTCACATTCTGTATGTTCAATCATTGCTTTGCGTTGAACCATTTTCCCTTAGTATTTTTTCTTAAAAATTCTTACACACATGTACACAGACAGATCAGTTGACAGATAAATTGAACTGCAGAGAAAAAAGTTTGCCATCTTCAAGCCCAGATAGCCAGGAAGATAAGAACATACAATAGTCAGGGGTAGGGGAGGCAACAGATGTCTTAGCTCAAACTCACAATGAAAAAAACAGAGGTGAAACAGGGTGGGGAAGAATACCTTTGAATATCTGACTATATTAAGTTCTTTCTATCTTATATTTTCAGTCAAACACTTACTGGAGATGGGAGAAAAGTACAGAAAATTGAGATGCTTTCCACAAGTATGACCAAAACAGATCTGGAAACCAAAATGCACTACTAGTCAAATATGTAACAACAAAAAAAGTGTCAAAATAGAAATAATAAAGAAAAATACAGTTTTATTAAGAACTCTACGAAGTCAATGCTTTGAGGCAGCACATAGTAGAGTCAAACATATATGGAGATTCAAATGCCAGCTATGACATTTCCTAGTTAACTGTGGATATGGACAAGCTGTTTAACCCTTGCGGGCCTCAGTCTCTTAATCTGTAAAATGGAAACAACAATATCTTCTCTTCACAAGATTATCTTTAGAATTAAGTGAAAGAATGCACATTAAGGGATAAGTACAGTGCTTGGCACAGGGATAACAACCACTCTGTCATTCATAGGAAAAGAAATGTACTTTTTTTAGGCGAAATGCTGACTCTTTTGATGATCAAGTAATAAATGTAACAGGTTTACAGTATCATGTCTTAAACCGATATGTTGCAATTTTGTGAGTATTAAGACCAAACCCTATCTAAACCCAAAGGTTTGATTAAGAACATTAAGTCCATATTCTCTGATTAAAGATTTTTTGTAAGCCAGAAGGGCCTATGGGCCTCTTTTCCACACAACCTTAAAACTGCCTGGCTCAATCTCAGAGCCTCTTCTCAGGGGGTGTGTGCGTTTGCGTGCGTGCGAGATAAAGCTACCCTAGAATATCCCATGGTGTCTGCTCCTGATCTCTGCTTTAGTTCTTTTTAAAATAATATCTTCCTATCTTTATTTTGAAAGATTCAGTTTTGGCATGCTAAATTTGGGCATATTCCACATGTGAAATTCTTTTATTGAACTAAAAATGAACACATTTTTCTCTTTTAGCTTAGTTATTACATAGAAATGGCTATTTAACAACTGGTTATATTTCTTTATGCAAAGCTCACCTACCAGAAAGCATCAAAAGAATAAAATTTATTTGCAAGCTAAATGGCAACGGTTTCCAAAAATCTATATTTTGGGTTTATTTTTAAACCCAGTTTTAAAGAGATTAAAGAGTGTTAGACGACTTCAATGTTCCAGTCAAGACCCTCTGCCCAAGAAATACTGATTTTTAATTAGCAATTAGGAGATTACTGTCCCATATTAGTCCAACCTAATCACACCCTGAGTTGTTTCTGGTCTTAGACTCTCCAAATTAAAGAGTCTTTGACAAATTAAAATAATACTTGTAAAAAATATTAGGTTTGCTTAGGATCTCCTTGTATACCCTTCCATGACTTAAAATATAAAACCAGAATATTCTTTCTGTGATCTCAGAAAATAATGAGGTCTTTAAAAAGTAGGTACAATAAAACTAAAAATCTCCCTTTTCATATGAAAGCAATAACACTGTTTTATAGATAGATTAAATATTTGCTATTAGCAACTCTAAAAACCGTTTTTAACTCAAACAGCTATTTCACTGTATCTGTGTAATAAATTAAACAATGCATGTTCTCCTTACTAAAGCAAAGCTCAGTATCTATTTCTGACAGATCATCTTTGGGTGAAAAAGATTTTAAACAGACTATTTGCTTAGTTAAAACTGCAATTTTATTTGAAGACTGCTACATATTTGGTATGATTTTTTTTTTTTTAACTATTGCAATGAGATTCTCACTGTTGGAGATCAAGTTAAAGCATATGAGCATGGTCAGCTTTTAATTTACCTCAATAGGGAGAAAACAGATATAATCAAACTGATAGCTCTACCTAAACATATTCTTTATGACCACCTACTGCACCCACAAAATTGGTTTCAAGAACTCCATCAAGTAGTCCTACACTACTTATAGGAAATAATTTGATACAAGCAAGGCATAATAAAAGTGAGAGAAAACCTGAGAAAATGGAGTACTTCTTCCAAAATATTACAAATATTTACTTCTCCCAAATAAAAGATATTACTTTTACTTTATGCTGGACTTAAATTCACAGGGAAAGTGTCTTAGATTAGCTGTATCCACTTTCTTTAAAAACAAACAAACAAACAAACAAAAACCCACTACCCCTTCTTCTAGAGGGACTGATTGGTTTGCCCACTGAAAGTCCTGTTTCCCGGGAACGTCAGTCCCAGGCAAACCTAGATGGTTGGTCACTGTATCTACTTGCGAGAATTATTTATTTATCATCAAAATAGCTTTAACTGCCACCATTAGAAACAGCAGTTGTATTGTAAAAGTTTACTATGCAGTGTCTGAATAAGTTTTATAACATTATGAATAAAACATTCCAACTAAGAAAATTTTTCTCAAATTACTAGTTTCCTTCCCTTAAATTAAAATTATAGTGAATCATAATCCAAAGGAAAAAATATATATTAATTTCAAGGTAATAAAAATGGTTATAGAGAGTTTTCAATCTTTTAGTCAAAAAACATTTCTATGGAACAGAAGTAATGACAAATCATCTCTCCTGTCCATTACTGGGTATATGTATATTTACCAAGATGAACCTTTAGAGCCTCCTTAAGAAATACTCTGTGACTTAAAACCTAGCTGAAGGAAACTATAAATTCATACACTGTTAGAACTGAAGGGACATTTAAAAACAGTATAACAGAAACAGATTGAGAGTGCTTAAGGGTCTAAGAACACACTATTTGCTACCAAGCCAGAAGAAATTTAAAGGATATAAGCAGTTACAATTTAATTTAGAAATAAAAGCTGTTCCCAGGTACCATCTCAGGTGCAGTAACCGTCGGCAAAAAGTAAAACTATCCAATGATGGAAAATTCTTTCACTTAATTTTAACTTCGAGGCATTTAAACTATGTTAAGGCATAAAAAATGGATTAACAGCTGATGTAAATGATAATGACCACTTTTTAGATTCCCTGCATTCTTTAAGTAAAAAATACATAAGAAATTTTTTGAGTTACTAAATCACTGTGTTCCCAAAAAGAACAAAGGAGGCTAATTAAAAGAAATAAGGAAAAAAAAAAAAAAAAACGGATAAATAAAAATTTTTCAAGTGGTAGGGGAAAGCATTTTAAAAGGATAATACTTCTTTTGTTTTCAATACAACTCATATGTGTTTTTTGGACTTTAATCTAAGCTAGAATTCTTAGCTCATAATTAAAAGAGTCATAATATACCTAAATGAATTCATATGTTTCACCAAAAAATATTGAGTTAATACCGATAACATGAAAAAGATAACTCAAAGCTTTTAAACTAATTTTCAAAGATACGGCTACTACATCCATGCAATGAAAAAGCAACATTACACTACCATATTTCTTCTGTCTCTTCAAGTTTTTTTTAAACAATCTTTATTAACAGAATAGTAATTTATTTCCCAAATTAAAATACCCTCTGACTTAATTTTCCTTAAACTACTACATAAATGATAACTTACATTACAATATTTAATAGCAAATCTATAGAGCTACAATACAGCATGTTTAAAGATGTGATGAACAGCATATTTAAAACTATTTTAAAAAGAGGTCAAGTCTGACCTCTGGGCCATGAAGCACTACGTTAACAGCTCTGCAAAAAGAAAAATGATAAGGTATGAAATGAGTGCTCAGAAACTAGGAGCTTATCAGTTAGAGTGGGATTCAAGCCTGTAAGACAAACTGCTCAGCAGGGCAAGTCACCTTCCTGCTGTGATGAGGATACAGTTGAATTTCCAATGCCACTGACTATCTCCCTCATCATGTCTTCTAGTCTCGTTATCATCAGTCAGTGTATGGTTTATAGTTGCAAGGCATCTACCATTTATTCTGAATACGTTTTGTCAAAGACGCCAACTAGGATAATTATGTTTGTCCTTTAGCTGAGAACTTACTGTTAATAACAAGAAATCTTTAAAGGATAGGTACTAATAGGAACTATTGTGCACTGACTCTTCATTGACACAGAATTATGATCCTATCTCCAGTTTTTAAAAAGTAAGCTAAGTTTGTTATTTAAATCATTTTAATAGCTTGCTTGGTCTTTATAAATAAAATCTGTATCATAAAAATTCAGCCATGCCTAAAAATTGTCTTTAAATGCATACCTGAACACTGATGGACTTTTTCAGGAGTTCTTCTACAAAGTTCCAATTTGATTCCATTTGTCTCTAGAAAGGAGGATATATTATTATGTCAAAACTATTGCTCTTCATTACACGTATTTAAAATTATGGTATAGTAAATTAAATGTGAAGTGCAAACATTGTCTTTATCATCAGACATCACTGCAATTTCTTGAATGTCTAATATTACTTTGGCAAAGAGTTATTCAACAAACTTGTTAGAAAAAAATTTTACAAGTATTCTAAACCAATATAAACCTCACCAGAAGTTGTTTTATTAAACAGGGGTGCTTTTATAAAATTATAAATGCTTTAACAAATACTTAATTTTTTCTATTAGATATAATCTAACAAGAAAAAAAACTTTACATATCTATAGTATTTTTAGAGCTTTTATGCTCTGGGTGTTCTTCCTATTCTCCCCTGTTCTGCTCTTCACTCACTGGAGGTGTTTTCCTTCATTTTATGTGTAACAGCCCCCCCAGACATCCTACTCTAATAAACAAAGCAACTAAAAATTTTATACAGAATAAAAGAAAAATTTATACAGTGCTACCTTATTTAGCCAAAGGTCACTTATCTAGAAATCTCCACTATCTAGAAGACTCTTCACACTGAGGAAGAAAGCCAAAAGGAACTTTCACAAAGCCAAAATACTTTTCAAAGGCTAGGTACTGAAAATAATTCCACTATTCCAACAAGAAAGCTCAGAGAACCTTCTCATAAGATACTCTGCTTGCTTGACAATCATTTTTAATGGTCTGAATATGTGGTTACTAGTCAAAAGCCAGACAGCCTCCAAGAGGAATCAAGTAACAAGTAGTTTACCCCCTCCCCACAAAAAAGGCACAGAAAGTAACTGTAAGACCTCAAAAAGCAAAGCCAGAGGCCTTAAAATACAAACAGCCCCACCACTCCCTACTATCCTTGTTATAATAAATATGATGACCACAAGATGAAACCAAATGATCAATAAAGGGTTAAAGTGTATTCAATATTTTTTATTTTAAAAGGGTGGAAAATGCTCATGTAATTGCTAAGGAGACTAAGTCACTAAATACATATTTCCTTAATAAAGATGCTTAGTGACTCTGACAGCCAGCCTCAAAAGATAGCCCCAATGATCCCTGCCTCCTTATATTCATGCCCTGTGTAATCCTCTCCAACACTGTAACAGGATTGGTCTGTGACCAATGGAATATGGCAGGAGTAATAGTATGACACTTCCAAGATTAGCTTTTAAGACACTGTAGTTTCCATCTTGATAGCACTCTCTTTCCTCTTGGATCACTTGTTCTGGGGGAAGCCACGTGTAAATGTCCCAGGAGAGGCCTACATAATAAGTAACTGAAGCCTCCTGCCAATGTAAGTGAGCTTGGAAATGAATCCTCCAGCCCAGACTGAAGTCCCTGCTGACAGCTTGACTGCAACCTCATGAGAGACCATGAGCCAGAACCAGCCAACTAAGCCCATCCTGGATGCTTTACCTTCAAGAAACAGCAACTACCGTGGAAGTCAGCACAACTGGGCTAAACCAAAGCTAAGATGTTTCCTGAACACAACCAAACACTTTGAGGGACAGAGTAGCAGAGGCGGGGGTCTGGGGACCATGCTTTCAGGGGACATCTAGGTCAACTGGCATAACAAAGTTTATTAAGAAAATGTTCTGCATCCTACTTTGGTGACTTGGCGTCTGAGGTCTTAAAAGCTAGCAAGTGGCCATCTAAGATGCATCAACTGGTCCCAACCCACCTGGAGTAAAGGAGAATGAAGAACACCAAAGTCACAAGGAAAGTATTAGCCCAAGAGACAGAAAGGCCACATAAACCAGAGACTGCATCACCCTGAGACCAGAAGAACTAGATGGTGCCTAGCTACCACCAACGACTGCCCTGATAGGGAACTCAACAGAAAGCCCCTGATGGGGCAGGAAAAAAGTGGGGTGCAGACTCAAATTCTAGTAAAAAGACTAGACTTAATGGTCTGAGACTGGAGGAACCCCAGAAAGCATGGGCCCCGGACTCTCTGTCAACCCAGCACTAAAACCATTCCCGAGGCCAACTCTTCAGATAAAGATTAGACGGGACTACAGGACATGGAGTGATACTCGCGAAGAGTGTGCTTCTTAGCTCAAGTAGATACATAAGACTAAATGGGCAGCTCCTGTCTAGAGGTGAGATGAGAAGGCAGAGAGGGTCAGGAGTTGGTTGAATCAACTTGGGAAATCAGGGGTGGAAAGGAGGAGTGTGCTGTCACGCTATAGGGAGAGCAATTAGGGTCACATAACAATGTATGTATAAATTTTTGTATGAGAGAGTAACTTGAATTGTAAACTTTCACTTAAAATACAATAAAAAAAAAACTACGTGAGATGTTTGTTATTTTAAGTTGCTAGTTTTTGTTATGCAGCAATAGATAACTAACACACTTTAGTTATTTTTAGCGAAAGATTTATTGACTTCTTAGAATAAATGTATGTAAATAAAGCGAGAGCAAAACATTTATCAGGAGAGAAAGTGTGTAGGAGAGAAAGTGAGTAGAAAAGAATTTGGCCTTGCCCAAATAGTCTGGCCTTTGCCCTGGCTTCTGGGAAGTGGTCTCTGGGCCCTTAGAAGTTACACCTGATAGGAGTTTGTTTCTTGGGGGTTTTGGGTCATATTGGATAGTCTAACAATGTGATTAGCAAAATAGTCTTACGGTGGAAGCTGGCCATAGCAGAAAGACAATGTGACTTGGAGTGGCGGCTTTGGGTCACGATTTCAATCACCTGGAGACTAAACTCAGCCACATGGGTAATCGATCAATCATGCCTAGGTAATGCAGCCCCGATAAAAACTCTGAACACTGAGGCTTGGACGAGCTTCTGTGGTTGACAACACTCTGTGCGTATTGTCACAAATCAATGCCGAGAGAGAGTAATGCAACCTGACTCCACAGGGAGAAGACAAGGGAAGCTCCATGTTTGCTATTTCTCCTGGACTCTGCCCTATGTACTTCTTCCCTTCACCGATTTTAATCTGTATCCTTTCCCTGTAATAAACCATAACTGAGTATAATAGCTTCCAATGAGTTCTGGGAGTCCTTCCAGTGAATTATCAAACATGAGGGTGGTTTTGGGAAACGCCTGAACCTGCAATTGGTGTCAGAAGTGAGGGAGGTCTTGGGGCCTGTGCCCTCAGATTTTGTAGTTGGCCTTAAAACTCTCTCAGAAAGGAAATAACTTCGTTCTATCAATACTATGTGTACACTGTGTCAGGCTCTTTACTTTTCACTTCCTCATGAAACATTTTCCCATTTCACAGATAATGCAAATTAAGTCTCAGAAAAGTCACGTACACAGTCAGAGCATGGATTCAAATCTAAGTTGGTGGGGCCCCAAAGCCAGTGTTCCTTCCGTTATACCATCCTATTAGTAACTGATTTTCTTCCTAGCTGGCCTTCCCTGCATTTCAGCAGTTCATTTTTTATATCACTATTTTAAAAACTTCACCATTATTGCCAAGTGAGCAGGAACATGAGAGAGTAGATGTAATTCAAGTTTTAGCTTTACAATTTGATAGTGTTAATGAGTTTATTTTAATTGTTCTGCTCTACCAAGGTATCTGAATCACAAGAATTACAGATAAGCAGTGCGATTCTTACCAGAAGAACTTCAACTATATGTATCAGTATTGTGACTAAAATATAAAACAAAAATAAATCTTAATTCAAAGGGAAGAATAACAACTATATCATGTCCAAATCAAATCTGAATAATATGTATAAAAGGAATACAGAGTTTTCTGAATTTCAACAGAAAAATTTAACGTCAGCAGCAGCTACGACATTTTTTTCTACATACCAAGTTATACCGAACTTAATTCCAACTGATAAAATGGAGATAAGAAGTCATCAATTTGGGGCACATTTTGTATTTCTTATACCACTACCAAAACTAAGACACTCACTTAAAGATTAGTATAGGTGATATCTTCACCAGGAATATAAAATAGATCTCCCCTCTCCACTTCAGCAGACTAGGTAGCCTGGTACAACTCTCATTTTAAGATTATATTTCACATTTTTATCTAGTCACCATTCTGACGTTTCAAAGATGAGCATCAGCTAGCCTGACTGCCTGCGCTATGTTCTGGGCAGGGAGAGCAGTGTTAAACTGACCCCTGCAATGCCCAAAAGTGATTTTACTCTCTGAACACTATTTGGTTTTTAAAATAGGTAAGTGGGATTGTGAGAGGATAACACATTCTCATCTAGGTTGAGAGAAAAGCATTAAACAGAAATGTATGAAAATCTAAAGCCTCTAGTATGAAAAGTGAGATATCATAATTTCCTAATATGCCTATACTAAGAAATTGGCTAGTTTTGTGATTTAAATCCACATATAGCAAAAGTCCAAGTTAAAGAAACTTTCAAAATAAAAAAAATAATTAACCACATCTGAAACCTATTTAAAATGTAAAGATTTCACATTAACCTTCAGGGCAAAGCAGTTCACATTTAAAAACTGTAACATCTCCACGGTTATCACAGGACTAGAGGCACTTCTCTGCTGAAGAACATATGAATAACCATTATTACTTAATATTATCTCTCACACCAGATTACTCTTTAATGGAACGAAGCATGCTTACTGCACAACCATTTTCTTATTGTAGTTGGCTATGCTAATACATCATAAAGGGGAAAAAAAAAATTAGGCAATTTTAAAAATTCTGATCTAAATATATCCCAGATCCAAACTAACATCCTATATAATCTCTGAAGAAATGAGCCAAAATGCCTTTACGTTCATAGGTTAGAATGACCATATAATTTATCAACCACACTGAGATAGTTTTCAGAGTAAAAGGGGAAACTAACCAGATAGGACGTGGGAACTACAGGCATAAACTGGGACTGTGCCTGGAAATTAGGATACATGGTTACCCTCACTCAAAAAAACCAAACTTGTTGCCATGGAGTCGATTCCAAATCATAGTGACCCTAGAGGACAGAGTAGAACTGCCCCAGAGAGTTTCCAAGGCTGCAAATCTTTATGGTAGTAGATTGCTACATCTTTCTCCTGCAGAGTGGCTGGTAGGTTCAAACTGCCAACCGTTTGGTCAGCAGTCGAGCGCTTAACCACTGTGCCACCAGGGTTCCTTTATGGTTACCCTACCAAGGACCTATTCATAAAAGAAAACACTTAGGAGGACCCCAATATTAACCGTATTTAAGTGGTAAAGAAAGGGTGGCAATTAACCACTGCATACCTCAGTTTCTTCACCTGTAAAATGGATATAATTATCACCCTTTCACCTACTTCATAACACTTCACTGAGATAAAAAGTGAATTGTCACTGTGAAGTGTTAAATACTTTGTAAATGCAATCAGCTGAAGGTATCACCCCTAATAAAAACAATTATTAACTGGAGAGGTTGAGTTTTTCTTTAAAAGCCTTTAAGAAGTCTTAAAAATATTGGGAGTTTTTTGTGGACTTGTGAATAAAGGCAAGGTTTATTTTACATAGACATACAAACATATATATCCTCATTATTTTTATACAAAAAGTTCTTTTTTCAAATCATGGTAATCTTTCCTTTTAAAACCTTCTACGTAATTTTAAAAATTAAGATTTTAAAAAATGTATGTATCCTAGCAAAAGAAAATCAAACAGGAACTGCTGACAAATATTCAAAGGCACAGGTTATGCTATTTTAAACACAGACAATTTATTTACTCTGTTGAGTCAAAGCTAATAAAAGCAATAACCTCCACTGGAGTTCTCTGTATGAAATAGAAGAGTGATTTCAGCAATGCAATTGTGGTGGATATACCAATGCAATTCAACATTACAACAGTAATATATATTAATGGGGCCAAATTACCTACCACGCTGGGAGTATCTGTGGGTCAGTATCAACCACTACTGAAATATACCACTGACTCAAATATGTGTTAATGCAGTTCCAGCAAGTATTAATAACCTAAAAGCATGCTCCCTGATGCAAGGGGCAGTATAATCTTTCATATGTATCCTCTCATCAGCACCTATTATTATGATATCACACTATAAGAACTTGAAAGTACTTAATTACCACATTGACATACATTTACCAAAATTAGAAATATGTACTTGGAGGAAGAATGGTTGGAAGGGAAATAAAAATGTTTATGCTAAGACCTTAGAATTTTAGGTAAATTTTTTTAGTTCCTTTAATGTTGTTTCAGTATTCTAGTAATTAAAAGATGTGAAACATTACCATATCAATACACAAAAATACTTAATAAAAGGGCTACTATAGTAATAATGGCAATTGCTAACATTTACTGAGTGTTTACTGTGTATCAACATGGTAAACACTCATGTATAGAAACAAACAAGACACTACGCTCTATGAGAAGACCATTCTATTGATTTCTTTCAATAAACTGGTAGAATGCTTAAATACACTGATACGGAGCTGTGTATGAACTTCTCAGAGTACTTTCTAACTTATTATTTCACTTCATCTTAGAATCCCTTTTTATTAATAGGGGATCATTTGGAGGACCTCCTGAGGTTCTTTCCAGTTCTATGATGCTATATAACCCATTGTCGTCGAGTCAATTCTGACTCATAGCGGCCCTATATATGTCAATACTAACTGACCCTCAGATTTCATGAATGATTTCTCAAAGTTGGCTCTGTCCAGTCTTCCAAAGAGAGGAAAATCTGTCAAATCCATCAAGATTTCACAAAACAATGATTCTCAAACCTGGTAGAGGATGAAAACCAAGGAATTTTTAAAAACAAGGAATCCCAAACTCTACCCCACATCTGTGAAATCAGGATCTCCAGAGCTGAGACCTAGAAATCTGGCTTTCAAAAATCTTGCAGGCCGGTCTGATGGTCAGGCTATTTGGGAACACACTTCCATAAAAAAGACAAATTTAAAAAGCACAGACACACTGAGCTTCAGATTCTAGATGCCTATTTTATGAACTGATGGGCTGATGTAAAACTACAGTATTATTGATTTCTAAATGTGAGAGAAATTATATAAAAATATGCTTTAGATAAATACATCTACCAGCTAGTTTTATTCAGACGGATATTTAAGTAACACTGTAAAAAAGTGTTTCTAACTAGAAATTGACACACTAGTTAACATCTGTCTTCTATTTGAAGGAAACTTCCCATTGTTTAATAAATTAAAATATCTTTGCAAAAAGCTCCCATAAAGAAGTGTTATTCTGAAGAAATAGTTTATCAGTAACTATTCATAAGAAACAATAATTCATTTCTGGAGACATATGCTTTCCCTGTGGCAATCTTATAGATTTTAGAACGAGAAGGAACCTTTGGCACAATGAACCAATCCGATCTCATGTCTTTTGGATGAGGAAACAGATGCCCAAAAAGATTTAAGTAATTTACTGAAGGTCACAAAACTACTTATTAGCAGAGCCAAGACTATATCCCAAGTCATCTACAAGTTATTTTTCTTTAAACAAACAATAAAAACATGAATTTTAACACTTTTCAAAATGTTTACAGCAAGGCCTACAGCTTCTAGACTCAGAGGCTGAATTTATCTCTGTCGTATTATGATAGAATTTTTGTTGTTGCTTCTGCTCATTTACTTTCTAATCAGTCTACAAACAAATACATATTAATTGATAATGTAAGAAAGTTTAAAACAAGATCTTACCATTTCATCTGGTACTCCATGGCGATCAAACTGGTACAATGATGCTAAATGAGTAATAATCCACCAATTAAAACCGAATGGATCCCTGGACTGGATTACAGGCACAGGTAGTTTCCGGTCACTTGATTTTTCAAAGAGGGTTTTAAGCAGTTTATTCATCCAGTTCCAAAATGACTGTAGAAATAGAGGCAACATGATTCAGTTAAATTAAGATGAAGTCCCAATAACCTTTGATTTAGGGGTTTCCTTCCATTTTTATAATAAAATACAACGAAAAATACAAAAGAGAATATAAAACACATATACACAAGAAATAGTAATAAAACTACCCACGTTAAGAATTAGAACATAATATCTAAAATAATAAAGTATCTAGAAATATGTTTAATCAGGGAGGTAGAAGACTTGCACATTGAAAAGTATAAAACATTGCTGAAAGAAATTAAAAATGACCTATGTAAATAGAAAGACATCCCATGGTCATGAAACAGAAGCTTTAATATTGTTAAGATGTCAATACAACCCAAAGCTATCCATAGATTTAATAAAATCTCTATTAAAAGTCAAAGCCACATGCAAAAGAATGAAGTTGGACCCAAACATCACATCATATGAAAATTAACTCAAAAGATATCAATGATCTAAATATAAGAGATCAAATTCTTACAGGAAAAATAAGGGTATATCTTCAGGACCCTGTTTTTAGCAATGGGTTCTTCTTAGATACGACACCAGAGGCAAAAGGTGCAACAAAAGAATAAAAAGATAAATTGGACTTCATAAAAATTAAAAACTTTGGTGCAGCAAAGGACATTATCAAGAAAATGAAAAAACAACCTACAGAGTGGGAGAAAATATTTGGAAATCATACACTTGATAAGAGCTTAATATATAAAGAATATATAAAAAACTATAACTCAACAACAAAAACAGGAACAACTTAGTTAAAAAATGGGCAGATGACTTGAACAGTCATTTCTCCAAAGATATACAAACGGCCAATAAGCATATGAAAAGATGTTCAACATCGTATCATTAGGGAAATGCAATTAAAACCACAATGAGATACCATTTCACACCCACTAGGTAGGCTATTACTGGGGGAAAAAAAAAAAACAGAAAATAACAAGTGTTGGTGAGGCTGTAGAAATTGAAACCCTCATGCATTGCTGGTGGAATGTAAAATAGTACCATCACTGTGAAAAACAGTTTGGTTCCTCAAAAAGCTAAGCACAGAATTACCATATGACCCAGAAATTCCAGTCCTAAGTGAACACCCAAAAGAAAAGAACACAGAGACTCAGATATTTGTTCACTGCAACAATGCTCACTACAGCATTATTTCCAATAGTCAAAAGGTGGAAACAAGCCAGGTGTACATCAACAGATGAATGGATAAACAAAATGTTGTACATACATACAACGGAACAGTAGTAATGAAATCAGAATGAAGAAATGAGAAATGAATTTCCAAAACATGCTAAGACATATATGACTTTGAAAACATTATGCTAAGTGAAATAAATCAGACACAAAAGGGCACTGAATCATATACTTAAAAATGATTACAAATAGTAAATTTAATGTTATACACACACACACAAATATATAAAAAAAAGCAAACCAAACTAAACCCATCGCTGTCAAGTCGATTCTGACTCATAGCGACCCTACAGGACGGAGTAGAACTGCCCCATAGGGTTTCTGTGGCTGTAAAAGCCTTTATGGGAGCAGACTGCCACATCTTTCTGCCGTGGAGCATCTGGTGAGTTCCAAAAGCCTACCTTTTGGTTCGCAGCTGAATGCTTTAACAACTGCGCCACTGGGGCTGAATATATATATATATATATGCTGTTGTTATCAGATGCCATCAAATTGGTTCCAACCACATAGTGACCCCAAGTACAACAGAACAAAACACTGCCCAATTTTGCACCATCCTCAAAATCCTTCTGTTTGACCCCATTTTTGCAGCCACTGTGTCAATTCATCTCGTCGAGGGTCTTCCTCTTTTTCACTGATCCTCTACCTTATCAAGCATGATGTCCTCCAAGGACTGGTCCCTTTTCATAACAGGTTCAAAATATGTGAGACAAAGTCTCGCCATCCTCGTTTCCAAGGAGAACTCTGGCCGTACTTCTTCCAAGACAGACATATTCGTTCTTCTGGCAGTCCACGGTATATTCAGTATTCTTCACCAACACCATAATTCTAAGGCATCAATTCTTCTTCAGTCTTCCTTATTCATTGTCCAGCTTTGGCATGCATATGAGGCGACTGAAAATACCACGGCTTGGGTCAGGCACACCTTAGTCCTCAAGTTATACCTTTGCTTTTCAACACTTTAAAGAGGTCTCTTGCAGCAAATTTGCCCAATGCAATGCGTCTTTTGATTTCTTAACTGCTGCTTCCATGGGTGTTGATTGTGGATCTAAGTAAAACGAAATCTTCGACAGCTTCAGTTTTTTTTCTGTTTTTCATGATGTTGCTTAATAGTCCAGTTGTGAGGATTTTTGTTTTCTTTATGTTGCAATGAAATCGATACTGAAGGCTGTACTCTTTGATCTTCATCAGGAAGTGCTTCAAGTCCTCTTTTTTTTCAGCAAGCAAGGTTGTCATCTGCATATCACAGGTTGTTAATGAGTTTTCCTCTAATCCTGATGCCCCGTTCTTCACACAGTTCCTCTTCTCAGATTATTTGCTCAGCATACACACTTGAATAAGACGGTGAAAGGATACAACCCTGACGCACATTTTTCCTGATTTTAAACCACGCAGTATCCCCTTGTTCTGTTTGAATGACTGCCTCTTGTTCCATGTACAGGTTATGCACGAGCACAATTAAGTGTTCTGGAATTCCCATTCTTCACAATATTATCCATAATTTGTTATGATCTACACAGCTGAATGCCTTTGCATAGTCAATAAAACACAGGTAAACATCTTTCTGGTATTTTCTGCTTTTAGCCAAGATCCATCTGACATCAGCAATGATATCCCTTGTTCCATGTCCTTTCTGAATCCGGCTCAAATTTCTGGCAATTCCCTGTTGATGTTCTGCTGCAACCGCTTTTGAATTATCTTTAGCAAAATTTTACTTATGTGTGATATTAATGATATTGTTCGATGATTTCTGCATTTGGTTGGATCACCTTTCTTTGGAATGGGTACAAATATAGATCTCTTCCAGTCGGTGGGCCAGGTAGCTATCTTCCAAATTTCTTGGCATAGACGAGTAAGCACCTCCAGTGCTACATCTGTTTGTTGAAACATCATCAATTCCTGGAGCCTTGTTTTTCGCCAATGCCTTCAGTGAAGGCACTGGCAAAAGTATATATATAACCACAATAAAATATAGAAAAAGAATCAGAATATGACTAGTACTTTAGAAAACCCCTAGATATCCTCACAATCACATCTCCTTCCTCTTCCATTGAGAGGTAAATACAATCCTGACTTTCATGATAAACTATTCCTTTGGTTTTTAAATTTTGCCACATATGTATATAAATGTAAGTATATTAAGACAGTCTCTGCATTCTCAATTTCTCTTAACCACACTTTCATATTTTCTACCTTTGTCTCTGTGTTGTACATAATTTCTCCAGTCTTAACTTCTAGTTCACTAGTTCTTACCTCATTTGCATCTAATCTATGGTGGAGCCCATGAAATGAGTTTCAAATAACAATTATTACATTTTTCATTTCTGTAAGTTCTGCTGTTTTACCACACTTCTAAATTTTTATCCCGCTCATTTTCAAGGTTGGCTCTTTTACCTCCAAGCACATCAAATGTGTTTTTTTCAATAGCCCGTGAATGGTAGCTTTTTATTCAATAATAGGTAAAAATACATAAATTTACACTTGGCAAATTTAGTGCTAAAATAATAACTCAAAATATATATAGTACTTGTAAATCTGTGAAAATACAGATTCATTATTAGAATCAGATAGCAGCAACTAAGCCCCAAATTGTAGAAAATTGGGAAATTCAAAAATCCATCAAATGCCTAAATACTTTTTCCATATACCACAAACCACTTTTAACATCATTTCATAATATATTGTTTGAACTTACGTCAGCTTATGGGTATTTTTCTTCTTCTACAAATAGCAAATCTGCTCCTGTAAAGATTACAGCCTAGGAAAACCTATGGGGCAATTCTACTCTGCCCTATAGGGTTGCTGGGTTGTTATGAGTTGGAGTAGGCTCAACAGCACAAAACTAACCAAAAACACTGAAAATAAAATAAAATCCCATTCTGAAGATCTGACTCAAAATAAACTGGGAAAAAAAAACCAAAATAAAAGTCCCATCTTCTCCTTCGTGCTCCTCTTCCTCCCTCCTTAAAATGTTGTAAAATTGAGTAATGTAAAAAAAACCCATTGCCTTCGAGTCATATATTAATTCTGTATCCTCTAATATGTTTCCTGAATTGCTAGAGGGTATTAAACATTTTAGTTTAAAAGACTCCTGATAGAACAAGACAAGTATTTGGGAAAATAAGAGAGTCAAACCTTGTACTTCTCCCACATGTTTTGCATTACTCATTTTAGGCTTAAAAAGTTTAGTTTTTACCAGTTGCTGTTGACTTGATTCTAACTCATGGTGACCACATGTGTGTCAGACTAGAACTATGCTCCACAGGGTTTTCAATGGCTGATGTTTGGAAAACAGATTGTGAGGCCTTTCTTCTGACACATCTCTGGGTGGACTCAAATTGCCAACCTTTCAGTTAGTAGCCAAGTGCATTAACCATTTGCACCACAATCCAGGAACTCTTAAAAATTTAGTCGGTACACAGGACCTCAGTTAATCTCTTTTGGTGGCTGTTGTTGCCTTAGTATAAAGAAAGAACTTACAGTATTTTTACGCAAATAATGTGTGCCTTCTACGTTTGTTTGCCAACTGCGCCCGCCCCCCATGAAGTATTATCGTAAGTGCCACTATGTCAATTTTTTCAGTGGCACTTATGAAAATACCTGGGGGGGCGGGGTGGAGGGTAAGGATGGCAAACAAACATAGAAGGCACACGTTATTTGCATAAGCATACAGTAATAAGATTTTCCTTAATAAACTCAATACAAGAGAATAACTAATATATAAATTTCCCAACTTACTTCTGAGAGAGACCATTTACTTCTATGGTCTAGAAGATGAATGAGTAGAACCCATAATTCTTTAATGCATGGACATGAACAATGGTGACTCATTAACGCTTCTGAAGGTCTAATCTGTGATAAAGAAGGAGAATGAGGTATTCATAAGAGACAGCAGCCACACCTCTCTCAAAATGTTTTAAAAGAATGACTTAGATGACTTAAAATTTATGCTCAATTACATAAAATTGTTTATAAAAAAGTACTACTTAATTAATTTTAAAAATACATTTCCACTTTACATCCAAACGTACAGAATGAATTTTATTTCCAACTTTAAAAATACCTCTGCTTTAATCATCTAATCCAGTGCTCAGCAAACTTCTTCTTTAAAGGGCTAGATTGTAAATATTTTAAGCTTTGTGGGCCACACAGTCTGTCAACTCTGCTACTGCACAGCAAGAGTAGTTATAGACAACAGGTAAACAAATGGACAAGACTATGTTTCAGTAAAATTTTATTTACAAAAACAAGTGATGGGCTCAATTTGGCCTAAGGACCACAGTTTGCTGACACTGATCTAATCCATCTATCACAATAGAGACATCCAATGAAAAGATTAAAAAGTAAATTTTGATTCACTGTAGAGTATAAAAAAATTTTAAGACAGATTAAATAGAAATATTAGAGATTTATAAGGATTAAGCAATTTCTAAATTATTTACCATTGTTTAACAAAAATATCCTCAATGGATATTTCTAGATAACATAGAAACCGTATACTATATTTGCAAGTATAGTGAAACTTCTAAAATTTATAATGTATTCAATATTTCACACATATTACATAGACCTAACATAACACACAGCAAAAATAATAACTATTAGGATATTACATTATTATATTCCATTGATCTACTAATTAATTTAACTGTAAACATAATGACTAAATTCAAAAGATAGTGATAGGAAATGCATAAAACACAATCTAAATCTTAAAAAGTTACAAATCCCGATTACCCAAAAGTAGGGTTTATGTGTATAATCTGAAATAAGTGATAATAATCTATAAATATTCATCTCCTGAAAAATACGTTCTGGGGCACCTTTAAATCATTAACCGTTAACATCCTATGATAAGTGCATTTTAGTAAAAATATGTAATTTCCCTTGTGATTCTAGATCCTTTGTGAAAATAAGCAAACAAAAACTTCCATAAATTTTATAAACTAACTTCAGTTAAATATTCATTTATTTTTATATAACAGCAATAGAATAGGTTATTAGAGACCCGGACTCTCCTGTTTGAAGAAAAGTTAAACTTTCAGTCAAGATCTAAACATCTTGCTTGTATTTATTTTTGACAACATGGGAAAGCCTTTTTTTTTTTTAAATTATTTTTTAAACAGCTTTAAGACACTAATTCTGGCCAGTTTTAAATGTTCAAATCAAAACTCTTTTCCCAGATAATATTAAATAAATATAAAATTAACAAACTAACCATTTTACATTAAATTCTTCCAAATTAAACCACATGCATTAAGGATTGACTACTGCCACTAAGTTTCAAAAATACAAATAAACTCTTAAAGTATTACCTTGTCATACTTGTTGAGTGACAGGCTTATTAAATCACAAAGGAGATTTTCACAGTGTTCTTCAAACAGACTGACACTGGTTAAATTGTCACCTGCCAGATTCATAAACTGATGACCATATACAACATGTTCTGAAAATGTAATAAAATAAATCATATTTAAAACTAAAACAGATTTTACTAATTTAGAAGGAGAAAATTGATCGCATACCTTTAAATTAACTTACTGAACAAAACTACAACATAGTTACTTTTTGTTATTTTGCAAATAAAAGTGAAATTTGAGTACAAGTACCTTCTTACATGAATACTGATAAACATCACTGTAAAAAGTTTTCAACTCTTCCAAGTATCATTTAGTAGACTTTTCTTAATGTCTCTTTTAAGAGCATCTATACATCACTTAAAAAAAATAAAAGGAGAACACTAGAAAATCTTCACTCATGTTTCCAACCAACAAAGCCTTTAAAACATTATTCTTTTAATAACTACAGATACATTGATCGCATGTAATTTTTTTATGGCATAAAATAAATAAAATCACGGTGATATCGAAATTTGTACTGATATCAGAGTAAGCCTATCTGACTACTGCTCTAAGGAAATATTATTTGAAATAGCATCCATAGAAGGGAGGAAATTATATATGTGTATCTTCATGTTTGTTTGTATGTATATACGTAAATGAATATACACACGCACGCATATATATGTATATATATTTATGAATTCATTGAAAAGCAAGTATTGGAGAACAACGATGAACCCGCGAAATAGCTCAAAACATGAATCAATCTGGAAGGCATTATGCTGAGTGAAATCAGTCAATCGCAAAAAGACAAATGTTGTACGAGACCACTATTACAAGAATTCAAGAAAAGGTTTAAACACAGAAGAAAACATTCTTTGATGATTACGAGGGTAGGGAGGGAGGGAGAGGGGAATTCACTAACTAGATGGTAGATAAGAATTATCTTAGGTGAAGGGAAGGACAGCACACAATACAGGGGAAGTCATCACTACTGGACTAAACTAAAAGCTAAGAAGTTTCCTGAACACAACCAAACACTTCGAGGGACAGTGTAGCAGGGGAAGGGGTCTGGGGACTATGGTTTCAGGGGACATCTAGGTCAACTGGCATAACAAAGTTTATTAAGA